GCTCCCTTAAGAAATGGAACAAACATTTCTGGAGATATGGTCATGATCAAGCAAAGCTCTCACAGGTTTTCTCAGCGAACGTCCCTAGGCTCAGAGCAGAGCCATGGAAAGCACAGCACAGCTAGAGGAAACTACAGAAGCTTGGATAAGATGAAGATAACATTTCTGATGAAAACAACCTTTCTGATGAAAAATTGTAATTTCAGGTTCCTGAAATTTGCTATGATTTTGCTTTACAGAATTTTACTCAAATTTACATTTTGTAACTGGAAATTAAAGCCAAAAACTCAATCACTTTAAAGGAAAGTAGCTTGGTTAAGAAATTATTTCATAAAAGCAATAAACAAGGCAATGGCAAATAAACGTTTCTTTTAACCACTTCAGTTTGAAAGCATGTATTTTCTACGTTGAGGACCCACTGATATAGAAATACATGGATTTTTACTGTTTCAGATGATCTCATGCTGCAGTTTGTATAAACACGGTGAAAAGTTCCTGTATGACAACGTTGTCAGGGGTTTTTGTTTGCTTGTCTTTTGTGTGACACTTTTGATCCTCCTGTATCAAACGTTTACATAATGGCCATGGGAAACTGGCTAGTGTTTCGCAGAAAGTATGTTTACTTTCTTAATAAAATCACTAATATATCCATTTTCACTGAAAAAGTGCTCAAAAATCTTAGACACAGAGAAATTATTCTGCAGCCGAGATGTACAAAAATCTGAAGAAACATGCAGCGTGCACACAGCACACTATACTGCAACAATCTGAAAAAAAGTTCAAAGTAAATTTAAATAATCCAAGTAAAATGAAATATGACCAGATACAATACTTAATTGTTCTTAAAAATTATCAGATGGATACATTTTCACAGCAATTTCATCCCTAAACTCCTCAGGTATGCTAATAACCAAGCACAGCAACGGGTCACCCATTTAACCGTGCTAGGGTAGCACGCTTACCTTTTGAGTTAACAAAACCTTTATTTATTTTTTTATATATTTTTTAACCCTTGGAGTTTCTTCTCCCTGGCTGGCTCTTGAACACGTGCTAGCCAGGCTGTCACTACTTGCATTATTAGCTCTGCTAAGCACACAGCTCTAGGTGGTATAGCTGCAGGCTAAGGTAACGGCCTGGATACAGATGGACCCCTGCGCTCACGCAGAGCACTATTGAGTGTATGGGGCTCCCCGTAGGGACACATATGAACCTACCATGAGCAAGTACATTGTAAAGGCCCATGCTTGCAGAACAGCTTTATTTCCTGTATTACCAATGCATTTACTATGATTTCCTAAAGACAAAACGAAGCAAAAGGTGTATAAATAGGAGCTGTTCAAACAAAAATAGCAGAAAGCAAAGAAATTCTGCGCTGAGAGCAAGTTCAATGAGTAGCCATGCCGCTGAGTATTAACAGCACAACTTCGTGCACGTGTGTCCTCTCTGTAGCACACAAAACGAATTGCAGGAGTTTTGACTGCATAACTACACAGCTTACATTCATAGCTTGCAACTGTTTACAGCACAAGAAACATACCCCATTTACTCTGATTAACACCTACACCGTGTACAAACAAGACAAATTTATTCCAGGAATAATTTCACAATGGATTTAAGAGATGACAACTTCTCCTGTTCACAAAACCACTTAATCTTCATTTCCCACTTCGGTCTCTCCCCGACTCCCCTGCATTAAAAGTTGTACAACAAAATAGCTGAACTTATGCTAACAATTGTTCTATTTATTATTTTTTTTTCCAAATAGCAGTATCAGTGTGGGTTTTGCTTGTCCATTTGATCACAAAAACTGTATCAGTTTCCACCTCTAACTTCCACACAATTTGATCAAACCTAGTTTACAGGTGACAGAGGAATGAAGGGTAGACAAATGCATCCACAAACCTCATTTTCCTAAAGATAACACAACTGAACTCTAATCAGAAGGAAGAAAAAAATTATAGTTTTGTCTAACATCATAGAAAGAAAAAAAGAGATCACATTTTGCTTTAAAATTTATGGAAGCATAAACATAGGGGAGCTGTAAGGTAATGGTCCACAACTCACAGCTCACGAATCAACAGCAATGATTGTTGCCACAGAAAATTAGGATGCTGAAACCAAAGTCCTCACACAAAAAAAAGGTTCAGAGGAGAAAAAAAAAAACACATCCCCCCTCTTTGGTCTACCCCTGAAAAAAAATATACAAGTAGCATGCTCTCAAAATATTTTTAACTCGAATTGTTTTTAAAAGACCCACATTACTTTAATCGCTTTCCCTCTTCTTTTTCTTCCCCAAGAGGCATACAGTTCCAAGCAGAAATAATCCAGCTACCATTCAAATGAAAACAAGGTGCCTTAATTCTTTCTGGCAGCACTGGAAGTTACCTGTCATGTGATGCTACTCTCCTTTCGCAGGTATTCCCAACTCCTTTTCCCCTCACTCATCTCAAAATTTTTATAATGATATTATTTTACGTGTTTTGGAGAACCCCTAAAGGCAGCTGCTCAAAAACAGGCTAGTCCACTTTAACTAGACTTGTGTCTAAACGTAGTCATAAATCTAGACACTTCCTTTGAAGTTTCTTAGGTAACAGTGAAACATAAAAAAACCCATGTATCACTGGGGAAACAATTGTTCCTCCTGCCATGGTAAAAGCAGCTGAAATAATACACACCAAACTAAAATGCACTCCTTTGCCAGCAAATACTGTTGGAAGATGCACAGAAGACACTGCTGAAGATGGGAAGAAACAAGTATCAGGACCAGTTACACGGTGTGGGAGTTGGATGAAAGTACAGATGTTGCTCAATTCTCTCTGCTTACAGTATTTGCATTTTAATACTGAAATAAGCTTTTTTTTTCCTCTTTCATGAACCACTAAAGGAGGGATGTACCAAAGACATATTCTCAGTGGGAAATGGCTCCTTTAATAAAAACCAATGTTTTAAAGAAAAACTGCAAGTGTAACCACTGATGGCACAGCTGCTTTGACTCGAATTAAAAAGTGATCCCAGGGAAAGGTTTCAGCAAGAGCCGCGTATGGAACTCCTTCAGTGCATCACTCACAGGTGGGCTACTGCAGCAGAGGAGTCGGGGCCAGGATTGCGCAAAGTGCTACAGGGTGACAGTAATGTCAAAGAGTAGCATCTTTACCAGACTTTGTAACAAGATAGGGAGGGACTATGAGAATCTCTTGCACCACACAGAGCTTCACTGGTTCTCCTGCGGCGAAGTGCTTAGAAGAGTTGTCAAATTTGACACATTTTTATTTTTACAAAAAGACAGGTGTTCCAAGTTTGCTGACCTTTTTGGTGATGACAGGTGGCTGTGAGTAGTTTGCTACCTAGAGGGTACTTCCAAAAAATAAACACACTTAATGTGTCCCTTCAAGGTGAAGGTGACGTTTAGCAACGAGTGAGAAAGTGCTTTGCAGAAGAAACTCGTGCTAGGGAGACAGCATTTTGAAAACAGATCTTTAGATACGTTCCTCTCATAAAGTGATTTCTGTTTTGGTTTGGTTTTGTTGTTGAACAAAATGCGTGTCACCTCTAAAGCTTCTCCTATTTGTACACTTCAGAAGCATAAAAATGGGATTTTCTAACCTATTAAAAAATTTTTCAAATGAGAGTTTCAGAGGTTTTTGAAGCTATCTGTTGAGAATATAAACACACAACATGTCCTGATCAGTTGGCATCAGGGAAGATGGTCATTTAATAGCCCAATTTCCAGCAAAAGCTTTGCATAATTGGTAGATGGGACTGGAAAATGAGCGTAAGGATTTTAGTATGTGCAAGCAGTGATGCACTCCTTCCATTGGAATGTACACATCTTTGAGAGGTATCTTGTTCAGCTATGACACCCAATGAAACCAAGCACTGAAATAAACTGAACTTAGAACCAGACCTTTGAATTGCTGTAGCAGGAAGTGTTAAACAAAGATTTTAAAAAATAATGAGGCATATTCAATCATATACTGTCCATAAAAAGTTATTAAAAGTAATATTTTTAGAGTAAAATGGTTCTTGCACTATTGATAATCAAAATAAAAATTATTTTAAAGTACTGTTTATTTCATCTTTATCTCATCCTTTTTTGATTTCTACTTTTGTGTTTACGAGGTATGCAACATACTAGCACAGTGGTACATGTATATAATTTATAAATAAATATACATATATCAGGACTGTGCACTCAGAGTTTTTTATTGATGGAGTCAACAATAAAAAAAGTTTCTAGAGCACAGATCTAGATGAAAAGAGGCAAGTGTCCTCTACTGCAAGCATGTCATTTGTACTGAAAACTTATGTGGCCTTCATTCTTATATCCCTCACAGAGCAACATGCTCAATTAACCTGTGCATAAGTAGCTCTATCTTTCTATTACTCAAAAAGTTTTTCTTTCAGGAATACATGAACAGTTGAGTGTAAGAAGTGGTGGTGAGACCCAACTTTAAAGAGTTACTGTCTAGTAGTCCTCAAAAGAAAATGAAAACATGCAAAAGTGGACTGCATCATCCTACTCTAATGTCTGTCTAATAACACGTGTATGCTTATGTGCATGTATCACTAAAACACTGGGGCACAGAAAGGATGCAGTCAGTTGGGAATATTTAAATAAATTTATCACAATGAGTGAGGCCCTAACTGAAGGCTCACATGAGGCAATTCCATTTAAATAAGTATCAAATATTACACAGAGGAATATAGTAACTCTTAGATTGCTGTGTCATCACACAGTCTACACCGAGATGTGAGAAGTTTTATATTAATCATATTAAATTCCACAGCCTTCAACAAGTCAATCTGGAAAATGGTCTACAGCACCAAGCACCCAACGCCCACAAGACAGATTTATACGCTTTACTACTGGTTTCACAGTGAGTAGGTAAGATGCAGATCATACATATTAATTCTCTGACTACTTGACTTTAAAAACAAGGATTATATTCAGGGCAGAAAACTGAACACATCTGATCTCCCAATGAATATTTGACTCTTACCTTGCACTTTATCTGAACACCGCTCCTTGGCTCGCTCCCGCATTATTTGTGGAATCAAAACGTCTTTTTCCACATGTCTCAGGTGAGAATTTTCTGCAAGAGTGAAAAGAACCCCAAAAAACAGGAAAGAGAGGTTACTTTTTTCATCTATACATCAGAGAAAGCCAATCTACAGAAATAATGTTTATATAAGGTACAGTAGTATCCTAAAACTGTTACAAGCTAGCAGCATAAAATGCCATGGAGGGACCAGACAGATCAAAAGGCAGGAAATTCTAAGATTTAAAATTACTCAGATACAAATATGAGCATGATCCCGAATATTTCTGTTCTGCTCAACATGCACCATGAACCACAATTAATGAAGAAAATTCTGGCAGTACACTCTAATCTTTGCCTTACTACATAGAAGGTCTGCACACAAACTACATAAAGGTTGAAAATTATTTTTTATTTTAGGACACTAGAATTAGTACGTTATCTCTACAAGCTGGCTTTTTAACTCCCTGCATAAAGCTAAGAAATATAGCACATATTATAGCACAACTCGAAATTTGTATTGTTACATTGAGAAATTCAACTTAACAAGAACAAATGCTGCTGAGTTCTGCATTTAAAAGTACCTTGCAGTTTGCTTTCCGTTGTATCAAAAGAGAACTCACTGCTCAAAGTACACCGAGTGATTTTGAATAAACACAGACCATTCAGAAAAAAAATACTGCATTTCTCGATCCACTTTCTTCAAAAGAAAGGGATGACCTTTTATCAAGTCCAGCTTTTTGTTTCTTAGCTCTTTAAAGTCTATTTGCTCAGAACATTGTAGAGTCCAACAAAGTTATACCAAATACCTGCTTTTCTTACTCAAATATGCTATTTATTCATCCTTTGATGTCGATACTACATTTCAGAATAGCATCATCTGCCATGCTCACATTATAAAAACTCTACTGTCAGACACACTATTATTTTGAGTGAGAAGTATTTCATTCAGAAACAGCTTATAAAAATGAGATTAAATGAAAGAAATTAAAAGTGCTACTTATTGAAACTAAGGCAAGAAGTAGAAAATTACCTACTGCTTTCAAACACTACCTGTTTTTCAGATGATCTGCAGTTACTTCTAGATCAACAATAGAAACTAACATTTCTCTAGTCTTTTCTAACTCTACGTTTTAAAGTTTACTAATGCTATGAGGTTACACAGTACCAAATCTGTGATATTACTTGGGGAATCAGATAATGAGCAATATACAGAATCTGAACTAAAGACTTACGTTTCTCCTCAAAAATTTCTTGGAATTTCCACAGCAAAAGAAAGAAAATCAAGTGTCTTCTGTAAATATAACAAAAATGCCAAAAACAAATAGCTCACAACTTATATTTGCTTCTGTGCTTGGATCTTTGTGACTGAAATAATTGCAATTAAATATCCTCCATTTTAACTTTATGCAGAATATCAGTACAACTACCGTACCGAGCATTTATTATGTTAGAAACAACATAAAGTTGTCATAAAATTTTACACGTGTTTTTTTTAGAAAAGGGGCCAAATCAGTTTAACTGAATGACATGTCAGGAAACAGCATCACCAAGCTACGCGCCTCAGCTCTACTCTGAACAACCTCAAAGCAAGCTGGCACTACTGCACTCCTGCCTCGCCCCATCCCGATTATCCTGTTTCCCCTCTGCCCACATAGATATGCTCTGCCGCCTTGTGCTGAACTGAACAGGGAAGTTAATCTGATTTAAAGGTAAATAAATTTCTTGTCAGGCAATTTTTCAGCCAGACAAATTCTCCAATCCAACGCACTATCTAATGGCATAAAAGGACCAGGAAAGGGAACTGTGTGAGACACGGAACAAGCAGAGGCAAGACTTCAACTGACATGAGCACCACTGGCTCAAACTATAACTGAACTTTTGGTTGGTGCTTCTCCCTTCTTTTATTTTTATTTTTTTGATCTGTTCAATCAGTTATACTGGTGCTTTGAGTAGGCAGAAACTAAGCTGATCTATGAGTGTGGATAGAGGGAAGCGAGTTTCTTGCTGCCACCAAAAGGGAAGTTCTGACAGTTCCCCACTGCCCGCACCCAACCCTGTCACATTAGCACTATTTAACCACACAGTGAGCAACCAGCTCAACACAGAGAAAAATAAGTACATGCAAACAAGCACTTCTCAGCTGGTTTACACTTTGAAGTAACTAGATCTAATTATCAATGTTCTAATAATAATTTCATTTCACTTCTATACATCGGGATCTACCCCAGCACACATACAAATGTAGGGGATAGCACAGAAGAGAGTCTGGGCTGGGCTTGCACCCTGGCTGAGGCAGTGAGAAGCAACCAGTTCCCAGAAGTGCAAGGATAAGTCACCCACTATTGACAAAGAGAAGAGGACAGGAAGGCAACTGAAGGCTAGAAAGGAAACAGGACTAAGGCATCCTCCAAAGAAAGAGAAAGAAAGAAAGAAAAAAAAAGGTGTGTCTGTTAGCCCAGAACAGTCAAAAAAGATTCTCAAGTTTTATCTGATCTTAAGCACCCAATTTTCTGTTTGATTATTCAAAATGAAAGGGGCATAAGACTGAGAGCAAGAAGTAGGAGTACTGGTGTTAACACCAGCTCAACTAGAATCACACAGAGCTGTGCTCAAGGCAAACTCCCTCTTTTTAACCCCATGTTGACAAACCAGCAGAGGCTGCAAATGCAGGAAGGAGAAGGCACTTCAGGACACAGGGCAGTGTCCAGTATGAAGAATCAGAAGCCAGCTACAACAATAATTCAAATGTAATTATTCAACTGTATAAAGGAAACAGCAGCAAACACCACTTACAATCTCATTAGAGTTTTTAAAATAATGTTTGTTGGTAACTATCATTTTTTAAGTCATGAAAAGCACAAGCAATTCAAATTATTTTACAACATCCAGTAGTTTCAGGCATCTGGGTGCAACCATCTCTCCAAAGAGCTCAAATACAGATGCTCAGTTGGGGCAATACTGTATTTACGCATGAGTTTCAGTTGTAATGTCTTAAGTATTTTAATGTTCCTCCTTGATTTCTAACTATCCATTGCACTACAACCACAGTGATTTTCCTTCAAGAATCTTAAAACTCTTTACTGAAGTTGGTATCTCTAGCATTTATTAACAATATCAGATACCACTTAGAAAAATGTTTACATGCAGAGTAACTGCATTTCTGATACCAATGTATAAGCTTGCAAGCAGATCATGATCAATCCAACCTAATCAGCTCTGCAGTAACATATATGGCAAGAACATTCAAAGAAACCACACCTCAGAAGCAAGACTTCATCAAAAAACATGAGGCAGCTGTGTTGTGAAACCATCAATTTCTCTTGTCTTCAACTATATTACAATTTCTAGAAAAAGTACTTTTCCTCCCTTTTGAAAGTTCACTATTCTGCTCTAAGAAAAGTAATTTTTTTTGCAGTACCACATGCTGCAGACTAGACCCTATATTATTTGCATTACAACATACCTACTACTGTTTCATCTTCAAAACATCAATAAAATTATCCCCAGACACACAAGATATATGTTTTCCTACAATTTGCCTTCTGCATTTGAACGCTGATAGCCCTGGTTTCCATTCACATCCTCCACAAGCTTTGCCTGGTCTTCTGGGCAGGCTGTTTGAGATGACCATGGCTTTTGGCCACAAAGAGAACCAACAAGAATACACTACCTCTTAGCTTCCAGGGGGCCAGACAAATGTTAGCAGCAGCTTTTCCTTCTTGCACTGCCAGCCAAAACTTGGGTGTGTTTGTTAGAGTAACTTAATACTCTGCTTATCTTACATTCTCTTAAAATTTCCTAGTACCATCAAACATTACAAGGTATGGATATGTGAACACAAGCTAACTGAGCAAAGGTTACAAAAAGCAAACTAAATATAATTCATAATAACTAAGTATTTTGTAAAAATATACACAGAAGTTAAAGCAGAATTAAAATCAAATGCAGGCTTGCAGGTATTACAGCATCTAAGTCACTAGCTCCTTGAAAATGTGAATAAAGCTACAGTCAAGGAATCTGTATGGTGCAACTACTGAACTACTTCCTAAAGACAGAGATATCAGCACATTCCAGAATGCTGCTGCTCCTCCTGGGCATGAGGAACAAGGAACAGAGGATAAAGAACTGGTATAAAGGTTGGAAGCTTGCAGTTGCCACGGGAAAAAACTACAGAAAAGGGATTACTCCTATGAAAGAAAAATTGTTTTCCGTATCACTTCATCCCACTGTGAAGAATTAAAGGAAGGAGAGATTGATCACTAAACTGTGAGATATTCCTATTCAGTAAAACACTAAGAACACAAATTAAGATTTTTTTTTTAAAACTAATAAAATCTGTGGGTTTTCATAAATTGCAATGCTTGAAATTGTTCTCTGATTGCATACAATACATGGGGTACAACACTGCAAAACCCTCAGCTGCAAAAGCTATTTATTGCCATGGAAGGCCAAGCAGCATAGCCAGTCAGTTTAATGTTATTCATTATTTTTGTAAAAATGACGTCCCCCCCAAAAAATCAGGAAATAAATGCATCAGTAAGAAGGAGAGCATCACAATCACTCTAACAGCAGAGAAAACACATCAAATTCACTCTGTATGGAACCAGTAAACCCGTGCTGTAGGCAGCAGGCCTTTAAGAGGACAAGAGGAGAATGAAACACAAAGCTGCTGTACAATCCTGTTAATAAAATGGACTGTAGCAGCTTGCCATATTAGTTAGAAGACTATTACAAAAAGGGGTACCAAGAAAAAGCTTTCCTAGAAGAACAGCCTGAGAAAAGATGTTTCATCTCCCCTCGTCATGCAATACAGCTGGGACCTGACTTATTCACCCTCTTGTCACTGTGCCCTGCTGGTAGTTTTCATCTCTCACATGACTTAAGGCACCAGAGACACAGATTACTCAGAAAAGTTGAAAGTTTGTCTACCCAGATCTTTACAGAAGCCTCACACCCTCTGCATCCAAGAGGAAGCAAGTCAAGTGATTCCAGTAAGAGTTTCTGAAATATGCATTTCTCATTATACAATCTGTAATTTGGATTTTCTTAGTTCAGTTTATCTGAGCCCATTTTAGAAAAATAGCTCAACATAGCACTTTACATGTCATACTCATTTTAGTAAGAATCACAGTATATACAAAAAACAGATTACGGTTTTTACATTTCCATTAGCAACTGTTATATCTCTTGTTTTTCTTGAAGTCCCAGTTACACCAACTTTTAGATATTAGTTATTTACTAGCAAAAATTATGTAGAAAGTGCAGTCAAGGTTCAAGAATTCAAATTGAAAAAATATATCACTCTTCAAAACACAGACATTATAAAACAATCACTTTAATTACTTCAGGGCCTTGGTTCAGAAAGGTGAAGCCATAAAAGCAACTTTTTTTAATACACCTTAATATTTTTTTCCTATCAAGATTAGCAGTTGTCAGTGAACACACTTCTAAGATGTCTTCTTTTATAAGATAAGAAGTAGAACTTTTGAAAAGTATTAATGAGAACTTCAGCAGCAGAAATAATAGTTATTACAGAGAAAGGGAAGAAAACCAAGAAGTCACATGCAGAATTCCCACTCTTTAACTTACACCACATTTAAAGAAAATCTCCACTCTAAAGAAAGTGCAACAGTTCTTTTTCTGGAAGGGAAGGTCTTGCCTTCATCTGTGATAAGCCTACTAAACTTGAGTTTATCGACCATTCTCTCATTTTTTCCCTATGCAGACCCAAAGTATAAATAACACTTAAGATGGGCTGAATAACAAGTTTATAGCTAAGTTACATTAGGTGCCTTAATTTGGGGGATTCAGTAATTTTTTCTATCACCTGGTAAAAAATATTTCTGTGCTGTAAATACTCCATTTCATTCCAAAGTTTTGTTTTAAAATTCTTGCCTCTGAACTAATTATAAAACCACACTGAAAAAGTACACTTCTATTAATAATGGACGTAGCAGCACAGTGTTAACCTCACGCTAACTGGCAAACATTCCTTTCATCAATCAAGAGTACTGGCTCTAGAAGTTAATTTTTTTCCAAAAACTATATCAGATTTATTTTACTGTTCTTGTAACAGTATCTTGAATAGGCAAAGACAATTATAGCCTACCACTGCTCCTGGAAAAGAACACATTAAACTCAGACTTTTCATCTCCCTTATTCTGCCTAGCATATCCACTTCAAACTTAGTGATCTTATGTTAATTCATGCAAAGTCATTTGTGCAAAAACAGTTATCAAAAAAGTCTGTATCATTGAAAACGCTATCAACTACTTAAAATCTCTATTTGAAAACACTAAGTCACACATCAGAACAAATTAATTTAGAGATAGACCTATTAAAGTCACGGGAGGAAAAAATACACGTCTCTAAAATCTAAGGTTTTTTCCTACAATTGTGATTTTATCTATCAGTGTAATTAATACTTTAAGTACCCAATCCTGTAGCCTATGAAGGGGCTCCTGTGCCCTCAGTGCTAAGAAGTTCATAAGGCCAAAGTGGCATATAGTTTCAGCTTTGTAACCACAGTCCCACCAGTCAAAAACATTTGACTCATGACGGACCAGGACCAAACACCTTTACGGATACGTGAAACGCTACCAACTTTGGTAATTTCATTCAC